GGATAGTGACCTATCCTTGATCGCAATCAAGTTTATCTCCACTGTTGAGAGAGGAGAAAATTCTGTGCTCCATCCGCCAGAATGATCCCGTAATCTTTGAGGTCAAGTAGGGATGATAGCTGCAGTCCATTCTTTTAAAGGATAGTATTTCAAAGTAGGATAGAATTTCCATAGGTTGATGCGGAAGAAGAAAATGCCATATCTTTCTCTTTTCGATTATGTCAATAATCGTTAATTTTGCCTATCACTATGAAAAACAAACGAGTTGTCCGATAATTTACTTAAATAAAATAAAATAAAATAAAATAAAATAAAATAAAATAAAATAAAATAAAACTTTTAAGAATTAAGTTGATTAAATGACTAAAAAGAATATAAAAATTTAGTTTTCGTCCAATATAAAACGAAAAACATAAGGTGAATCACTTGCGAAGATCGTGCGCTTGTGAGGGAGGATTTTCGGTTTTTTAATAATGAATACATAGTTGAGGTGAGAGTGNGGGGGGGGGGGTGATCGATTAAATTTTAATGTAGGTACGAAAGTTCTATGTTCTACTTCTTATGTTTCTAAAAAATAAGTTATTGTCTAATTTTTATTGTAGACTTGGAAAACTTTTTTTTAAAAAAAATTTGTTTTACTGTTTTCTTATTTTTAGCATTGCATCTGTTTGTTAGATTATGTCGGAAAGGTGTTGCGATTTCGATTAGCGATAAAATCGTGATAAATTTTAGTTGCCCCATGTTGAATTGAAACAATTGTGTACTTGCGTAACTATCAAGCACAGAGCTATAGTTGAAATTTTAACACTATAGCTAATTAAAAAGTAGCTAACATTCTTGCTGATGATAATTTCCTATTTGCACTAATATATCAAACATTCTGCTTGCAGAGATCAGGAAACGTATGAAATTTGCATTTTAATCAATTTGAGCTCTAGTAGAGATTTGAGCGCTCTAGTAGGCGGAAAGTAGTAAAAAAATTACACCCTCATACGAGCTAATGAAAACGTAGCAATAAAATTTTTTTATAATGCTTTTAAAAAACGCTTGTTTTTACGAATTACGTTTATGTAGAGAGCAATAAGGCTTATAGGTTTTGCTTCGTGTTGAAAATTAAATTATCTATTTATATAAATAATGTTTCCCTTTAATTTCTTTTTTTTCTTTCTAAAACTTGTCAATTTTTGTGACTTTAAAATTATTTACTGGATACCATTAATTCTAAAATAAAAGCTTATATCCATATTTTTCAAAATTGTTTTTGCTTAATTTATTCGGTTTTCTTAAATCCCTTTTTTGACATTTAAGATGCAGAAATATTAGCAAACAAGGCGTTAAAAAATATTCAGGGTGCTTATTTATTTATTTTTATCTAGTATAAAGCTGAAACTCTTTTACTTTTTATTTTTTGCTGAATATTTTAATACAGTTTTACATAAGTAATAAAAGCTCTATTGACCTAAAATACAAGATGCAAGAGTGTTTTCGCTCCAGCGGTCTTTTAATTGATATAAAAATTTCAGAATAATGTCGAGTCGTGATATTTCATAACGTTAAAACTTTTTTAACCATACAGAATTTAATTTATATTAACCATAAAGTATTTTTTTAATGACTCGAATGATTTTTAAAGCTTCTAGATTATGAATTTGTCATAATTGCATCGATTGCTATTAGACCCAATGATTTTCATCAAAGCTTTTTTATCTCAAATATTTTACAAGATTGCTAACTAAAAATTTTTGCAAACAAATTTATATTTTTGAAACGTAGTCTTATTGTTTTGTGCAATGTTATTGGACAGAAATATCAGATGAGAGCAAAGAAACAGCTGATTAATAAACAAAGAAGATCCAGATAGTTTTGTTTACTGGTTTACAATTATTTATAAGAAAGTAAGTCACTGCTATTTTTAAAACACACTTTATGTGAAAACGTGTTCATTCAATGCATGCTATTAAATAATGAATACAAAATAAGAAGTATCTGAAATACTAAATAAATATATAGAATCAGAATGAACTTTTTGGCATTAATACTAAATAATCTCTTCCATGAAAAACTTTTAATGAGTTATTGTATTACATAAATAATCCCAAGAAACTGAAGAGGTAAGATCCTGATTGGAAACTTCATTCGAGTTATTATACTGACCAAATATTGAATAATAACTACACAAGTTTGTTGATGAAGTTACAATGGTAAATGAGTATTATTAGTTTTAAATTTTATCCTCATAGAATTGGAAACTAAATCTGTGTTAATACAATAAAAAATGCAAGATTTTTCAACTGAATAACTCTTAGTTTTTATGCGACAATCTGTTTATCGAGAAGAAAGAATAATAATTGTGAAGGGATTGTAAAGGTTGGTAGTCCATTTTTATTATGATAACAAAACATTTAGGTCAAGTAAAATAAAATTGATGTATCTGTATTTTCTAACAAAAACTTTCCAGTTCAATTGAAATTCACAATGAAAATTTCGGAAGTCTTAATTGTATACTAACTATACTGCAACACCTAACTACTAGGACTGGGCTATAAATCAATGTATCGAGACATATCGATTTAACGCATATATCGGTAAGACAATACAGCGACTTTCATTCAAAGCGATGGAATCAGAAATCTGATTTAAGCCGTCGAGTAAAGACAACGAGAGCAAAACGATATAGCGATATTAGACACGCAAGGATATAAGATAACGATATAGCGATATAAGACTCTTCTCTTACGCGCTGTGGAAGACGATGCTCGTTTCGTTACGTTGAAATGGCCTTGATTGGTGAACTGTAGAATCAGAATCAGAGTTTTAAGAACACATATCGCTATATCGCATGTTCCTTTCCGCACCTCTTAGCTTTTTTTTTCTCTGTCGCGACTTTTCTTGTACATTATTTTCAGTAGGACTAACTTCGTGATCGCCGATGTTACCTTGTTCTGAAGGCAATCTATTATTGAAAAGAATATATAAAGAAGAGTTTCTGCATTAATTAGATAAGCTTTTTTTTAAAAAAAACTTCGTTTTATTTTTAAATGTGAAAATTATCGGCAATCTAATTTAGGCGCCCATAAAGAATTGAATTTGTTAGGTTATTTTTTTACTTTCTTTTAATTTATTAAAAACTTTTTGGATGAAACTTCTAATAATTTAATGAGTTTTTATTACTGATTTTAAATTTATAAATCTTGTTGTTTTTATTTTTAGATTAAAACAAAAGAAGTTAGAAGTTGAAACAAAATTTATTTTTGTCATTTGGATTTGGACATAAGTCAATCGACTTTGCTTATACAAAAAAATTTGAAAGGTTTGCGTATTTTATTCATTTTTTGAAATCATTTAGTACTTCGTTTTATTAGAGAGCATAATAATTTTTTTAAAAAAATATTCTTTTCATATTATTCGTTAATTAGCTAAATATATTATGGAATATCACAATTTTTTAATTTTTAAGAAATTAAATCTTACTTTGTGTTTCGGTCATTATTTAATTTAATTTAATTGTTTATCTGAAATGATAAGGTCCCGCAGTGGACTGATCGTTAAGACACGGTTCCCAGCAGATCACCGAAGTCAAGCCTCACTGGCTGCGGTCAGAGTGCGGGTGAGTGACCACTTGGATCAGTCTGGGTAGGGACCGAGGGTGTGCGGTATTGGTCCTCGTTAAACTGTTCTACCGTAAAGAGCTCGACTTCGAGTGCAGGTCGTCGAGCTACCGAAGCGGGGGTGCCATCCCATCTGCAGAGGATCAAAATTGTGATGGCATGTCTTCGGATCATCCTCAGGGATGTTTCCCAGACCGTCGCCAATAGCCCATTGTGCAGCTCTAGTGTGACGTAAATGAACTACTTGTATAATAGAACTATAACTGAAATGATAATAATAAAAAATAGTGTTTTAAAAGCGTTTTTTTTCTAAAATTTATTTAGCACTTTGTTTTAAACATACAAATAATTTTTAACGTTTCAGTTAGAAATTGAACATTGCGATCGAACTTAATAATTATGTAATTATTTATGCATAATAGTACAAGAAAATATTAATTTGTAAAAAACGCTTTAAAAAAAGTTTTTAACACTTTGCTTTACGCGTATTGTGAATTTCTAAACAAACATTTCAATAAATATTTTAAGTAAGATTTAAACATTGTAGTCAATTTATTTAGTATCTTTCTTAAGCAAAACATATATATCTTCAAATTTATAAATTGATTTAAATCAATCTGAGTATGAAGTTTTGATAGAAATCTGTCTTTCTTTGCCTTACAAGTAAATGAAATTCAAAAATACCATATCGCGATACATCGCTATATCGCGATGCAAAGATGCAAACCAATCCTACTAACTACACTACAGCTCTTCAGTTAAAGGGACTCTAACTGATTTGTATTGTAAAAGCACCAACAGAACCTGCTTGGAAGAAAATCTCACGATCAAATTAGAAGATGTGACAGCCGCTTTTGTTTGTAACCAAGAGTGGTCCTGCAGTGGACTGATCGTAAAGACACGGTTCCCAGTTGAACACCGAAGTCAAGCATCACTGTCCTGCGATCGGTAAGTGGATTTGTGACCACTTTGAACAGCCTGCATAGGGACTTAGGGTGCGCGCTTTCGGTCTTCGTTAAACTGTTCTACCTTACATTGCTCGATCTCGCTAGCAGGTCGTCAGCCTATCAAGGCAGGTGAGCCATCCCCTCTGCAGAGGATCAAAATTGAAAGGGATGTCTTCGGATCACCCTCAGGGATGTTTCCCAGACCATCTCCAATAATCCATTGTGCAGCTCTAATGTGACGTGAATAAAGTACCTACCCCACGCAACGAAAAAAGCATCTAGGGGAATGGTCCTGCAAGATCTTCACAAATTAAAACCGTCACTCATAAGTCTCAACACGCTTGTGTCTGCCTCAGAACTGAAATTGACTCTATTGTAACCGTGGTTATAGCGACCTCTTTACGTGAGAATGTATACTAATTAAATGCTATAAATTTTAAGTAGCCAAAATTATGATAGGAGAATATAATCTAGTTTTAACCTGTCAGTAAAAAATCTCATGCTGCTGGGCAGGATGTAAACAAGTAAATTCATTTAAAAGCGTCTTTGGAGTGCATCTTCTAAAAGAGCGGCTTTAATTTTAGATAATTTTAATTTATAAATGAGATAATCGTGCTAAATACCATTAAATTTCTTTTGATATGATTGATTTCCTATTAAATCTTCCCAGCATACTGTTTCAACGATGACAGTTAATTGTGAATATTTTGTAAGGTATCTGTATGTGTTATGTGCATTGTTGATTCAAATTTCTCAAGGTAAGTAATTAAAATTATGTTTTAGATTTGATGATCCTATCCTTAATATCAGTGTTTCATATTTCACTATATTCTGACACCTTTTGCAAAAGTTCGCTTAATGTTTATCGATGGAAGACATCTATGAAATTGTTGTTTTTTTAAATTGAAGATCATATATGATAGTTTTCTTTATTTATTTGGCAAAAGATAAAAATATTATACTTCTTAGGTAATAAAAAATTTCACTTGTTTTTGATTAACGAAAAAATATCGTACGAATTTGGTTTTACCGATTTAATTTTCTACTAATATAATTTTAAGATTTAGATTTCGTGCTTTTGTCCTTTTTCAAATTTTTCTATCTTTATTATCGTTCTGCCTTTCTTAAGGAAAATCAAGTGGTCAGTCTGGATATACATTTTCTACAGTTATTGAGGGTTCAATAATTTAATAAAAATTTAAATGCTTAAGATTTTATAAATTTGGATAAACAGTTTTATGCAGGACTAATTGATTTGAGCCATTGTTTGTTAATTTATATCTTATTTGTAAATATAATTTTACAATTGCAATTATATGTTTGTATTATACATATACTTAAAAAATAAATGTTTAAAAAGATTTTAATATTGCTTGTAATTTTACATTAAAAACTAAGTTGTATTTTGAAATCTTCTCAATTTTTTTTTCTTTCCTCGACTGTCTTAAGGAGTTATTTATTTTTAATCTTTTTTTGATAATAAAAGAAATAGTTAAATAATAGGATGTCTTCAAAAAATGTACATATTTTATAAATAAAGCTACGTTTTAGCTATGACATATTCTACATATAACATATTCTACATATTTCATATATAATTCACAGAAATCATTAAGAAAATTCGCATTGGGGAACATTTACAACACTACTAAACTACTTATTGTAACACTAACTATTTATTGAACTACTTATTGTAACATCGTGGTATAAAATTATATTTTTAATTCTATAATTTTACTTTTTTTAGCTACCCTTGTCTACGATTTTATATTTAATATGTTTAAGCATTCCACTCAAAAACCTGCCAACCCTGATTATTTTTATATAGGCCTACTAATTCTGATCACTACGATACCTGAATCATTGTAGCTGGTACCTAATGCTTTAGTAAAATTTGTCATTAAAAAGAATTCGGTTTTGGTACTTCATTTTCTTAATTGTTAGCTATTAAAATTTGGCCCTAGATCTTAGAAATTCAGGATTTCTGTCAGGTTTCGTCGATTTAAAACAGCTTGATTAAAATTGTGACTTGGATCAATTTTTTTAGATAATCACTTATTTAATTAAAAAAATAAAGTTTTTTTCTAACACGTCACTTGTATTGTAGCAATTTTTCTATGTGATAATTGCACAAAATATTTATGGAGGTATAGTCATTTTTTTTTATAAAAAACTAATTTTTTTTTGTCCTACATTTCTTGCTATAACTTAAAAAATATTCAATGAAACAAAACAAATTTTTTGAAGCAATTTAAAATTCATTGGAAAATTATTAATTTAATATTTGAGAAAAAATTGTTTAAAACTATGCAAAACATGATTAATTAAAGTAGTTATTTTATACTGCGTATGCGAGGGGAAAATGTAATTTTTTTTCCTTCAAATTTTGAACTGAATCATATTTGGCAACTACTAAAAAAAAGTCTGATTTGAGTATCTTAAAAATTTAAAAAGTTTCAAGCCATCTTCTAAGTAGTTTTTGTTCTATTGAAAGAAAGCTGAAAATGACACAAATAATATTTTGTACTGTTAAACAAGGTTTATTAAAAATGATACCGACATTATTGAGGATCATCTCTCATGAAAGTATCTTTTCTTTTGCATGTTTTTGTTCCTTATACAATCATGTTTTAGGGATGAATGTTTATTGTGAGGTATAATTATTTGTTATTTAATTTTGTGTTCTGGTACAAAATAACGTTTTTAGACAACCCCTTATAATTTTTAGCTTCTTTTAAAAAGTACAAAAACTACTTAGAAAATTTCATGGAACTTTTTACATTTTTTAACAATATTCAAATCAGACATTTTACATTAGTTTCCAAATGCAGTTCAATACAAAATTTGGAAAAAACTGCTAATTTTTTCCGCTCATGACCAGTATAAAAGAATAACTTTAATTACTTGTATATTGTACAGTTTTCAGCGAAATTTTTCAAATCTGAAAGCAAACATTTCATTATTAATTTTAATTTTGTAATTGATTACATTTAATTTTATTGTATATTTTTAAAGTGATAGCAGAAAAAAAAAGTTAGACAAAACAATTAGTTTTTATAAAAATGTCCATATTTCCATAGATATTTAAGCTAAGCTCACAAAATTTCGTGTAATTATTGCATATTATTATTTTTAACATAAGGTGCTCAAAAACACTGTTTTCTGTATGTAATTTATTTTCCTCAAACCTCTAAAAAGCTTTAAACTTCATTGATAAGTGTGAGAAATCCCATGATCTAATCACTTCTGAAATTATGAAATGATTCTTTACATATTTCTTGAGCAATAAGAAAGAAAGGTATTAGTATAGAAGTGTTTCCATTATTTTTTCCATCCTCTGTACATTTACTTTGCATTTACATACATTTACTTTACATTTAAATTACATGTTTTATGTTTGTAAAAAACTAAAAAGTTGCTAGGCACCTAATAATAAGAAATAAAAAAAAGATTTACATTTAAAAAAATATCAAGATTTTTCTAAATTTCTCCAAGGTCATTCCAAGAGAAGCCATATTGAATTTTCAAAAATGGCCCCCACTATTTTATTGTTATTTTTCAAAACAGCATGAAAAGTTCTAAAAGTGGGCAAATTTTCATCAAAATCGGAGATGGTGGGTGCCATGAACTGACTATATGAACGGTGTAATATCGTTTTTCTGCTTAATGTGCTTTGGCAAACAGTGCATACTGCTATTTCAAAGAGCTTGACAGTGATAGTTGTTGTCCAGGAAGTGCGCAAAAGTGTTTGGCAAACACTTTCAATATTTGTAAGGCCATAAAAAAGTGACAGTATGGAAATCTGAGTGTTTCTATAAGAAATATTGCTTGTGAAATGGGTGTAAGTGATAGATGTATGTGGCGAGTGGTGAAAACAGAGTTTAAACTGAAGCCTTGCATGTTCCAAAAAGTTCATCTTCTCACTGAAGTAAACAAACTTATGTGGCTCCAAAAATGCTGAAAAATATTCAGATTGGCTCTAAGGCAGTTCTGGGAAAAAGATTCTGTTTCACTGATGAGAATCTCTTTACCATCCAACTAGCTCATAACTTCCAGAACGATGAGATGTGATTTTCAGATACTTCAAGCATCTCGGTAATTGTCTGGCATGGTCTTATGGCGTAATTTGCACAAACTGCAAAACACCTGGTTTTTGTGGAAGAGGTTGTCAAAATAAATCTAAGAGTGTAGCAATGATTTATTCTAGTAGCTGCTGTACTTTCATGAGCCAAAAAATACTTCGGCATTTCAAACTGGAATTTCAACAACACGCCACAGCAATCAGCAACCAACAAGGCAAAAAAGACTCGAGTGTATGGTCCATTTTGGAGTCTTTCATAAACGACGCAGCAGTTTGAACTTTCTGAGGCCATGAATAAGCGTATGCATTGGCATGGCATCACTGTAAAAGGCAGCCAATTTGGAATCAATTAAATTTACTTTTTAGTAATAGTCGACCCTTATTTTTTTATTTTTCATATTTCGTTAATTAATTTTTTTAAAATAAAGTTATATTTAAATTTGTCGAACTATTGTAGTAACATTTCTAAAATTTGTTAAGAAAAATTTCAACTTTTGCTAATTACTTTCGCTAAAATCTTTTTAAAATATGATAAATAGGTGGTATTTTTTTGTATACAATAAATTAAATCGCTTTCGAAATGAAGACTTGAAATGTTTTTAGATTTTATACAATAAAATTGCAAATAAAAAGTAAAGGGAAAATCAAAATGCTGTTATATTCACCTATCTTTTTGATTTTGGGCATTTGTTTTTTCCAATTTCCAACGTTTTATTTATTGCATTTCATTGCAGATGTTGAACTTAATGCCTTAATCTAAAATAGAAAAACAAAATAGTTATAAATGTAAAAATCAGGGGCGTTATGACATGTCACTGTAACCTCCAAAAAAAAAATTCCTTTTCGGCAAATTTTGCTTGGCCATTCGGAATATTTACCGAATTGTAATAACCGGAAAAAAGATCGACGACGAAATCATGCGAATTATTACCATGTGAAATAAACCATGTGAAAATCAATATCAATAACTGTCGAAAATACAATCAAAACTCTATGGATTTACGATATTATTTTCGTAAATTGTGATTTATGTCAGGAAGTGATTATTTAAATGCGCGATTCAAATTTTACATGCGGAAATAATAATATCAAATGAGAAATAACCGGAATTTTAAAAACCTCGTGGAAATCTGTAGCACTAACAATAACTGCCGGAAAAAATGTTGGAATCAAGGCATTAAAAAAGTAAATTATTAAATAAGCGATGATGAGTTTCGCTTGTAATAAAATTGTTTAAAAAAAAACATCGAGGATTTTTTTTTAAAATGTTTAAATTTGTAGCAATAACTGTCCAAAGAACAATTGAAACACCTTATGGATCAACGATGATATCGGTGCAAATCGGGCGTGTTCAAGAGTGATTTCTTGAATACGGGATTTGAACTTCGCGCTCGGTACTAATATCGGCATTTTTCGAAAAAAAAAAATATCACGAGAATATAAATAATAGTATCTGAGCAATAAAAAACATGGAGATTTTAAAAAAAAGTAAAAATTCGTTGCAAAATTGCCGGGAAAAAAATTATCAAAACCCTACATATATTATTAGCGAAGGAATCGTTGTGAGCGATAAAAATACTAGAATGCGTGATTTAAAATTTTCATGTGCGTAATATATTAAAAATATTCTATAGATTTTATTCAACCACATTTATATTAAAAAAAGGGAAAATGTAC